AGTGATAACCAAGGTTGGGGACATAGTCCAAGGTTGGGAGCCTCCTTCTACTCCACAGGGGAGTTCCTGGTTGAGTTTTGAAGACAGTCACAGATTTGCAGAGTGAGAGCTGAGCTTAGGGCTTTAGCCATCTGTAAGATACTAGACTGGATAGACATAGGGTGAGACAGACAGACCACCAGTCAGCTCCCAATTGAATGCACTACAGACTGGTAGGCTTGAGGGATTTCTTAAATATTTATTGAGTTGGGAGAGGGAACTGATTCTTATTAATAAAAATTACATGTAAAAACAGATACACTTGCCACTGGCAGCAGGAAAATCAAAGTCCTGGAAAAAACTCAGCAAAATGTAGCTCATATTTTGTGCCTTGTTCTCTTGTCAATTTTCTTCTGTAGTTTTTTAGACAGATTGTTGCTGAGATGCATACTAAAATGTTTGAGAATCAGGCATTTTTTAAAGTGAACCCTGCTTTCTTTGTGGAGAACCTTCATCCAGCATTATTCAGGCCAGTGGCCGTGGGTGGTGGTTAGCTGWTGGGTTTAGGGTGATCAGTGACCGGTCTCAGGCTTTTCATCCAATAGTTTGGGGGGTTATCATCCATTGGTCTTGGGGTAGTCATCCATTGGCCTTAGGGGTGGTCATCTGTGGATCTTGAGGGTGGTCCTCCATTAGTCTTAGGAATGGTCATTCATTGGGAGTGTTCACCCACCTATCCTGGGAGTGATTAGCTACTAGTCTTGGGTGGCTCTTGCTGGTCTTGTGGGTGGTCATCAATTCATCTCACAATGGACAACTACTGGTCTTACAGAAAGTGTCACCTAGGTTCATCAGCGTGACATAAATTTGTGCATTTTATAATATCCAATAGAGACAGGTTGATGCTGGTGAAGAATATGTCAGACATCTCTACTTTAGAATACCATTACTAAGAGGTCTCTGGTTGTATGAGGAGACCTGAGTCAACTGGCCTCATTCTTTTGATTTTTCTCAGTGGGCTGGAATGTGCCCTTCAGGTAGGAACTTGGGATGGCCTCCTGCTGGGCAGCCTGGGTTCTGGCTTCCTGATCATGGCAGCATCAAATAAATCTATTATTCCCATGTTAACCTGATGATCTCCCACTAGAAGGCTACCAAGGAAGAGAACCTGAGTTCTCCTGTGCTGGGAGACCCAAACTGTCCTTTGAGGTCACTCAGCCAAAGACAACTACTCTTTACCAGGTTGTGCATTCCTGATTCTGATGTCAAGTACTGCCAGGATTGCCCCAGGGCCAGGGCCTGTGCCATAGATGGCTTCCAGCCCTGGGTGCAAAGGTTCTTTCACAAAAGGGGCTCCCTTTGCRCCCAGTATCCTTCTTAATTGCCTTAGTAAGCCTGATCTGGCCCAGGGGCCCACCCAGGAGAAGTCCCTCCCACAGCGTCTTTGGCTCTAGACCCTATATATCCCTGGCAGGCCTTCTACTCCAGGACTTTAGTTTCCTCATTTGGAAACTGAACAGGCTGGATGACCTCACTGGGGTTGCGGAGCACCCACAGTCTATGCCCTGGTTCTGAGTGTGTCCCAGGCTGTGTATACCCCCATAGTGACTGTGCAGTGGAAGGGAGGACTGACTGTCTTTACAGGTGAGGAATGGGAGGCCCAGGGAGCTTTGATGCCTTGCCTGAGGTCACCCACCCAGACACAAAAGGTGCCAGGAATCCAGAACGCTGGACTCTCAGATAGTTGGCCTGTGGCTGCCCGGCAGGGGTTAATTCCCACACTTCTTTGAATGAATTCTGTTAATAAGCTGTGTTTGAGACACCAGTCTCCCTCCAAAACCACACACCATGGCAATGTGCTGGAAGTAACTCTTGCTATTGTAAACATTCTCACCATGTACCCGTGGACCGTCCTCCCTGCCCTTCCCGTCTCCCTGGGAGGATGTGTCCCGATGTTTTGGGGTCATTCATTCACTCAGCCCACGGCATTTGCCGACTCCCTTTGCTGCTGGCGCCCTGGGACCCACAGATGAGTCAGAAGTGTGGGGGCTGCAGGGTTCCCACCAGACCTTCTCCTCTCTCCCCCACAGCCCCAGTGACCTCATTCTGCTGTTCCCGCTGCCTTTCCTGGCTGCTTGGACCTCCTCCCCTGCCACACACCCAGTGTGTCCTTAGAGGTCTACTACCCTTGCTCTTCTTCCTGTGCCTCTCAGAGAAAGGCTTTGCCCATCACCTCGCCACCCACTTCATCTGGCCACTCATCGGGACCCTGTGTTTGTTTCTCGTGGCTGCTGTCACAGGTCACTTAAAAGGACCGGAATGCTTTCTCTCATAGTTCTGGGGGGCCCAGTATAGTCTGGCTGAAATAAGGATGTTGGTAGGGCTGAGCTCCCTTTGCGAGGCTCTGGGGGAGAAGCTATTCCTGGCCTCTTCCAGTTTCTGGTGGCTGCTGGTGTTCCTTAGCCTGTGGCCATTCACTCTGGTCTCTGCCTCCGTGGTCACATCATCTCCTTCTGTTCCTTGTGAAACCCCCCTACCTTCCTTTTTTGGGGGAAGTGGGCATGTGGTTGCATTCAGACCCACCCTGATGATCTCCGTCTCTGCTCCAGAGCCTCGATTTCATCACAGTTGCAAAGTCCCTTTTTACTGTATGAACTGTCATGCAGAGGTGTCCAGGATTAGTACTTACATATCTTTTCTAGGACCTAGATAACTTGTGGCTGTTTCTTAGCCAGCCACAGATCTGGAAGCACTCCTGGGCCCTGGCATCTCCCTTATATCTGAATAAGATCTGTCACCAAATCCTCTTCTGAGTTCTACTTCCTCAGTTCCCTGGTCTGTCCCATTCAGGACCTCTTACCTGTCTCTGGGGCATCTGCTTCTCAGCCCCTCCCCCAGTCCCATTTGTGTTCTTCTGGTCTTTTCACCCTACAGTAGCCATCGGGTTCCCCACCATGAGTCAGATCACAGTGCTTCCTGCCCTGAACCCTTTGAGCTGCTCACTGCCCTTACCCTGGAGACCTGCTCTGTGTGACATGCCACTCAGATGTTCTTGATGTGCCCAACCACCCAACTGGTCAGTTCTTCCCATTGGCTGTGACTTGCCTCATGGGCCTTTGCATGTGAACACTGTCCCTCTCTCTGACTGTTTGGTCAGTGCAAAGTGTTGGAGCACGTTTCAGGTGGACATTACCGCCCTTGGTGACTTCCTTCTTTCCAGAGTTGGGGCCTGATGCTCTGTTCTGTCTTCTGTCTTCCTCTGAACCTCCACCAGTCCCTACTTATGACTGGGACTCCCTCTTCCTGGATTGTCATCCGCATTCTCCACTGGCACCTCGGCTCCCCCAAGGCACTGGCTGAGTGTGCCAGGTGGATGGCTGCATCCCACTCTAATGGTAGATGCTCAGCAGGCCCTGTGGGAATGCCAGCTGCTTCTTTGTCCTTGAAGGCTCCTAGCTGGCATCAGGACAGAGCCCAAACAGTACCCTGCAGGTCARGGAGAAGGAGGGCAGCCGGTACATCCATTTTGTCCCCTCTCCCAGCCAGGACGATGATGTGGCAGAGGCCATTTGGGTTAGTTTGAAGGTTTCTGAACATCTGGATTGGTAATGCCAGGGATTGCACACTGGTTTGTATAGCCCTAGCTGGAGAGGAAACCTAGGTCCATCTAAGCCAGTATTGGATGGACAAAGAAACACAGGTTTTTCTAAGAGAATCTGGAAATTTGGTCAGTGATGTGGAGTCTCCTAGTTTTTGCATCTGAACAACCAATTCAAGCTTTAAAGAAAAAGCCCTGCTGGTCAGGATTGTGTGATCTAAAGGAAGTACATCTGCAAGTTGGACACCATGTAAGCTCCCAGTGTGAGATCTTTGGTTTTGGGATAGTGGACCAAAAAAAAAAAAAAAAAAAAAAAAACCAAAGTGTGGGAGCCTAGAGCATTCGTAGGACAGGTGGATTGAGTAGTGATGGCAGAATGGCCCTGAGGAGGGCAGCAACTTGTGGCTGCATTGGAGAGGGGAGCAATTGGGAGGATGTGAGCCAGGTGTTGAAGAGAGAGTAGGGGTTTACCAGAGTGGGAGCTGGGAGCAGGAATACCCACACTGAGGACCTGGCAGGTTTGGGTACATGTGGACATGCACAACCCAGTGGCCAGTGTGAGGGCTGGGAGAGCAGGAGAAGGACRAGAGCCTTGAATGCCACAGAACAGGGCCACCTGAATCCAGACAGAAATGAAATAGCAAGGGGTTTGCAGCAAGGAAAGGCCATGGCTGGTCTTGGTGGGGAGGCAGCAATAGACTGGCCTGTATTATCCTGTCCTGTGGCAAGTCAATGGGGGACAGTAGGGACTGTGACTAGCAATAGGGCACATGTCTGTCCAAGATTTCTACTGCTGGGCAGTATGTAAGCCCACTTTGGTCAGAGGTTGCATTTTTCCAAGGATAGTTGAAATTATATTTTGAAAACAGAAATCTCATCATTTTGAGTGTTGGATTCAGAGTTTAAAAATATTGTTTGGCCCAAACTGAACTTTTGTCTCTGGGTGGACTCAACCCACAGCTGACAGTTTTGACCTTTATCTTCAACTCTGGGCTCCTGGAGGGTGAGGATGGCCCTTGACTTTATTTGATGCATCTTGATGTCCTTGTAGGGCCACATGATAGATGTAGAGCTGCACTTGAATTCCTTCAGGCTGTTCTTAACATTTTGGGTTTTACAGGTACAGTAGTTTTTTCTGGAAGGAGTGTTGAGGTTTGGGGTGGGAGGATGACCCAGGAGAGCCCCTCCCTCAGAAAGGACTCAGCCTTATCTGGCGGCGATGTCCTCTGCAGATGGAGTCTCTGAGCAAGTAAGGGACCACCTTTGTGCCCTCCAGCCAACCCAGGGTTCTAGCTGAGGACTAGCTGGGGTGTCAGGCAGGGTCCTCAGCTGGGCTTTACTGCCCRCTGGGGCCCTCCTCCCTGTTCCCCCTCCCTAGTCTATTGTAGTTGGGAATTTGAACCTCTCAACTTTGCCCCCTCAGGCTGGTTTAATCCGGACGGAGGAGGAGGAGTTCTTCATTGAGCCTCTGGAGAAAGGGCTGGTGGCGCAGGAGGCTGAGCATGGCAGAGTGCACGTGGTATATCGCCGACCGCCCACCCCCAAAACCCCTCTTCTGGAGGGTCCACAGGCCTTGGACACAGGTAAGTGGGCGCGCTGTATGTCCTTTTCTGCAGACAGGATCGAAGACAAGGCTTAGCCCCAGCCTTACTGGCTCGGGAATGGGCCAAGTGTGTGGCTGACTGCATGGCCTAGTGGGGTGTTGGGGCCAGTCCTCTGCTCTGGGTGCATGTAGGTGATTAACAGCCTAAGTACCCACTGCTTACAGGTCTGGACTGTCCTAGAGGAAAGCAAAGGCTGTCCAAGGACCCACATTCTTCTGCAGGGTTGGCAATTCCTGGCCTGAGTGCTGTGCCCATGAAAAAGGCATTTGTGTTCCCTAGGCAGTCCTCTTCTCCTTCCTGTGTGCAGCCGCAATCCCCGTGACAGTCCCTGTCATATGCCAATTCTTCCCTGGCTGCTCATAGGGAAAGACTCTGAGTGCTGTTTCGGGATCCCCCAGAGGGATGTGCGTGGTAAAGACCCTAGAGATGTTCCCAGCAGTCTCAGCACTCATTCCAGGGATTTTGTCTTTTTCAACTAAAGCATGCTTTGGGTCCAGGAATGTGGAAGTAGCTGCTGGGTGGCCAGGGTGATTGGTTGCCTAGCCATAGCCTCATGGAGCTCTTCCTACTATCTCATTCCAAATCTCCCTAGCATTCTCTGGATTTCTCCTTCTAGATTGTGAAGAGGCCAGGGTCAGGGTCCATAAAAGTTCTTCAGGGCTCACAGTTCCCAGGCCACCTCACTTGTGCCTGGGTGATGAGTGGCTTTGAGCTCAGCCTTCGGCCTCTGGCCCTGGACCCCTGGCTGAGGAAAGCCACTGCACGTGGTTGCACAGTAGGTAACCTGGGATCGCTCTGGAGGCTCCTGGCCGGGGCAGCTCCCAGTGCTGTGATTTATTGAAGTACTTCATCCCTCCAGAGCAGCCGTGGCTCATTTATTTTAGGTCTCCCTGACTTTCCAGCTTGACAGATCAATTGGGTGCAGCTTGGCAGGGCACCATTCTAATTTYAAGAAACCGTGTCAGATACCTTTGCAAAGGAATTGTTCCATCAGGAAGCCCACTGTTCTCAGGAGCTAATCAATACTTCTGTGGCCCCCTCTTCTCTGATAATGAATTGCTGTCCACCTTGGCTGCCACCAGCTGGACCACTGGGTGCTGCCTGCTCAGCCTTGCCCAGCCTCAGCCTAGCCCCTCCTGCCTCATTCCCACCTTTTTGCTTTTCTGCAGGGAGAGCAACCTTGTAGGGCCAGAGTCAAAGTGGGACAAGGGGAAAGCTCTAGACCTGAGGTCAAGGCCCCCTCTGAACTTGCTTCTTTCTGACCATGGGCAAGTTTGGGCCTCTGGTCTCTGCTTTTTCTTGTGTCTGCTGGGTTTGTCAATGCTTGTTTCCCAGAAAGCTTACTTCTGCACTGGCCTCCACTGGAAGATTCTGGATGGTTCTGCCCCTTGCACCTATGCCAGGCAGTGTAAAGTGGAGTCTGCACAGTGGAGCTGGCCAAGTGCCCTTCACCATGACTCTGATCCCAAATTCCATATGGTGCTTACCTTTCTAAACATGGAAGCCCTTCCCCCATGGCCTCGCTGGCCCGACTTTATTTTCTGGACTTCTGGTGTTTTGGCATCTTCTGTTGAATCCTCCCTCCACCTCACAACCCCAATCCACATATCTTTAATGAGAACTTGGAACTGAGAACACAGGAAAGGAATTTCAAACTCTGAATAAGCCCAGAAACCATTGGCCTTAGAAGGTGCTGGATAAAGCCAGCAGCACAGGTCAGGGGGTGAGGCTGGGCTGGAAGGTGGGTGGGGGTAGGGGTTGGTAATTGGCCCCTGGGAAGGAGGTGAACCTGTCCAAGGCTGAGCTCTAGGCCTCTGTGTCAGCTCAGAGTCCCTAGTCAGGAGCTTAGATTGTGGGTGTGCATGTGGGCCTTGGGCTGTAAGTTCAGATTTCAGACCTATGGTCTGGGGATTAGACCCCTTTCTTTGACATCCCTGTCCAGTGTCAGCATGGTACTGCATGAGTGACTCAGGTCCACAGAGAATCTGTTTCCCTTTGGATGTGCCTGATTGTTCCCTTATGGCCTAGGGCTGAGGTCGACTCATTGACTGGACAGGATCCAGACATAGTTTATGCTGGGTCTGGGCCGAGGGCCTGGGGTGACCTCAGATGGTTCAACTTTCCATTGGCCTGGGCCTTGTCAGGACCCAGAGTGGCAGCCGGGGATATATAAAAGTTGTGTCCAGTGGCTGGGTATAGCAGCAAACACACCCTGCTGGGCACAGAATCCCAGGACTTCAGTGCAAAGAGTGTGTGTGTTTACAAGAGTGGCATTATGGTTTGGGTGTAGTTCATCTCTCAAAGGTTCATGTGTTGGAAGCCAGGTCCCCAGTGTAGTGGTGCTGAAGTGGTGGGACCTTTAAGAGGTGGGGCTTAGTGGGAGGGGGTTAGGTCATGGGGGCTCCACCCTCAAGAATAGATAACATTGGTTTCATGGAGTTGGTTGGGACTTATAAAGGCAGATGGTTAAAAAACAAGACCATCCTATGTGCTTGATCTCTTATACACAGCTTTTCCCTTTCTGCTTCCTCACCAGGTTGGATGCAGCCAAGTGGGTCCATACTAAGATGCTGGTTCCATGCTCTTTAGATCCTCTAATCAGCAGAATCATGAAGTAAATGAACTCTTTACTTATAAAGTATTCTGCCTCAGGTATTTTTTTATAGTAATGCAAAACACTAGGGGACTGTAGTAGTCTGCTTTTTGTTACTATAATGAAATACCCAAGGCATGCTAACTTTATAAAGAAAAGAGGTCTATTTAGCCTACAGTTTGGAGGCTGAAAGTCCAAACTTTTTCAGGAGATCCCACTGGTTGGGTGGCTGGTGAGATTCAGGTCATCCATACACCTGAGAAAGGCCCACAGCCCCAAGGAGGCCTTGGGCTGATGGCTTCACAATGGCAGGAACACATAGGAAAGTTAAGAGGTCACATCTCCAGAAAGGAAGCCAAAAGGCGTCTCAGTGACCAGGCTCTTCTAAAAACTGCATGTTGCAAGAACTCAGAGGTCCTACAAGAGCTACATTAATCCCTTCTAAGGGAAGCTCCTACAGTCATCTACAGAGCTCCTATTAGGCCTCACTGCTTAAAGGTTCCACCACCTCTTAGGATCACTGCTCTGGGGATCAAGTTTCTAATGTGTGAACCCTTGAAAGAGAGATCATATCCAACCCATAGCTGTGACTCTTTCTTCCAGTAAATTCTGGTTGGAACCCTAATACATCCATGAGCTTCTGGCTGAAGCAGGCAGGAGGTGCTGACTCCCGACTCCCCAAGGCCATTTCTGGAGATGCATAGAGAACATCCCACTCTTCATTGATGGGTCACGGGTGTGTTGCATCCCATGGGGGAGGGGACACACCCACCCCAGGCTTTTGAGGTTGGTGATGCCTGGGCATTCCTGGGGCCCACATGACTGCTCCTCAGGGGTGCTGAGACGATTGTCTTGTGTTTCTGTGAGAAGCCCACAGGCTGCCTAGGGTGACCTCAGGGCTTACAGAGCCTCAGAGAATCATTTCACTAATAGTCTGTCATGTTAGATCAGTTGCTGGGCTGCAATTTGCCTGGGGACATGGAAGGAAAATGAGGGTTTTCACATGTTTTCTCAGACTCACACTGGGGTTGGGTGTGCTGTGTAGGTGGTTTAGCTCACAGCAGTCTCGCCCTCCAGCCCTGGAGGAGGCTGTCAGGAAGGGTGGAAGGTTGAAGAGGAGGAGGACCCTTTTTTCTCCTCACTGTCTCTACTGGTGTCTGTAGAAGCATCTCTGTTTAGCTCTGCTGGGACAGAAGGCAGAGCTCTGGGGCCAAGGCACCAGGGTGGCCTTTTGGGGGAAGGTGGCCGAGACATCACCCAGACCTCCTTGGGGCTGTGGGCCTTTCTCAGGTGTATGGATGACCTGAATCTCTCTCTGCCCTCCCTAAGGCCTGCTTTGGATACTATATTGGTGGGGGTGGGGGAAACCATGTTTTATGTGCACGTGTGCGTGTGCATGTGTGTGTGCTCATACACACATGTGTGTGAACAGGGTACAGCTCTGTGCCTGAGCCCTGCCCTGGCTTCCATCTCTCATCTCTGGGGTTGTTGAAGAGGGAGCCAGAAACACAACACAGGACGAGGAGCCTGGCCCTGGGAACAGAAGCCTGGATTTAGAACTAGGTGACCCTGACTTCGTCATTCCCTCTAAGCCTCAGACTACAGTGATACACCAGCTGGGGGTTTAAAAGAATAGAAATTTATCATCTTATAATTTTGGGGATAAGAAATTGAAATCAGTTTCACTGGGGCCCAAATCACCGTCTTGGCAGGGCTGTGCTCCCACCAGAGTCTCTCTAGGAGAGATTTGTTCCTTGCCTCTCCCAGCTTCTGGTGGTTGCCAGCCTCCCCTGGTTTATGGCTGTGTCTCTCCAATGTCTGCCTCTGTGGTCCCATTACCTCCTCTTCTGTCTGTCTGTGTCCCATCTCCCTTTGCCTTCCCTTGCAAGGTTGCATGTGATTACATTTTGGCTTCATCCAGGTCATCCAGGACAGTCTCTCCATATCAAGATCCTTAATCAGATCACATTTGCAAAGTCCTTTTTTGACATTCAAAGTACCAGTCACAGGTTATGGGAATCAGGACTTGTTATCCTTGGGGTCACCATTCAGCCAGTTTCAAGAGGTGAATTGACCCTCATACAAGGCTGGCTACATACTGGACAGAGCACACATTTCTGAAACACCCATGAAGGGCCCACGTGGAGCAACATCTAGTTCCAGTCTCAGCCAGAATGGTGCCCCACACCTGGAAAGGCTAGTCCAGGCTGTGGCTGGGCTGATCCCAAGAAGCTGGCTTTGGCGTTGGCATTGAGGGCCTGGCTGTCTCAGCCTTCAGGGGGCTGAAATTGGGATTCTGTGAAAATCCCTAGAGCATACTCTGTGCATGCAATCTTCCTTTCAGATGCACGGCGCCACTTGCAGAAAGTCCTGATGTCCCAACACA